CGGGACCTTGCTTGCCAGCTGCACGCTGGGCTTTTATTTCCCTCATGACTGCCTTTAACTTTAACATATCCGCTAGCGCAAGGTCTGATTGCACACTAACATCGCTACTTTTGCGTTTAAAGGCAAATGGCAGTAATGTTCTGAGCTCTGCTGGGGTGGAGGGAAGCACCCTAAGCAGACGGGCTCGAGGATTTGGTTGACCAACCGGAATGTTCCCCAATCTGATGAGCTTTCTGACAGTAACGGTAGGGAAACCTGATGGTAAAAGCCTGGTCACGCAAACTTTAAGCCAACCAAGATATTCAAGCGTGCGCTCGGTGGGAAGAGCGGTAGTGGATTCAGTGACGTTTCTGAGAATCGCACTGTTATCTGTGTAAGAATCGCCCCAAAGTGGTGTATTTGTTCCATCTGTAGTTTTCCTAGTTCTGCAAAATCCATACATTTCAGTGAACTGCTCATTGCATGTAGCGTTACCTGCCCGTTGAGACAGATATTTACTTGTATAATTTTGATCAAACCTTATTTAATTTACCTCAATGAATTCGAGGATAAAATAGCTATTTATTTATGTTCTGACGGAAGTGTATGAGACCCTTCATTGCCACCTCCTCATGACTGCAAGTAGTACTAGCTTGAGCTGTCCGTGCTATTTGATTTCAACATAGTCACGTGCAAGGATATGCAATGTGATCAATCTTCGCTGACTTTGAGTGTAGAGCAGCTCGATGGATCTACGCTGCACTTCACGATTCAGTAGGTTGGTCTGGGTTTAATGGTTCAATGGTTCAATGGTGTATGATGGGATAAAAAGCGTAACTTTACAAGACCCACAGGATGGATATGCAAAAGAAAATTAAAATCAAAATGTTCCATCGTGGAACGTAAAATATCAGTGGTTAAATCATTGCACTTTAGCAAAGTGTTGTGTATCGTTTTTCACTAAGATGAAAATCTAATGGTCTTTTGAATGTCGTCATGTCTGGTGCGTTCACCACACAGTTTGGTATGCATTCCAGTGAGAACGGATTCTAAGTGAGAAAAAATGCTTTCTACAATTCAAACGAGAGTGTTGCGTCATTAGTTTCAGGTGGTTGCCTCGGTTTTGTTTGCATGGGGCTAGAGTCAACAGTGATGTACATGGATGCTCGCTTTCGGTTAGTATCCGGTATGTGAGAGTAAGATCTCCGCGAAGCCGTCGGTATTCTAATGAGAACATACCGAGTACACGAAGACACATTTCGTAAATTATAGCGGATAGTCCACGCGTTGCCTTTGTGGCTGTTCTTTGGGGCTATTCCAAGAGGCGGATGTCTCCTTTTAACCATGGACACCAGGCATGAATTGCATATTCAACATGAGGACGAATGTAGGAGTTAATCAACAATGGTACTAGCTGTCGCTTAAAAGTGCCGAGAGCTCGCCTCAAAAGTCTCAAGTTCAAGTTCGGCACACTTGCTGCTTTCGAACATTGGAGCGCATTTCCAAGACTCTCTTGCATGATTATACCTAGGTCGCGTTCACTAGTCACGTGTTGCATGACGTGTTTCCCCAAAAGGTATGCGTTGACGATGCTGTTGTGCACCGTCAGCAGGTGGCACTTTGCAGGGTTCAGTGGGAGCTAGTTCCTTTCTGCTCATTCGTTAATCCGGGTTAGATCTTCCTGGTGGTAGACACGGTCGGATGCTGAGCGACTTGCTTTCCATATTTTAGCATCGTCTGCAAATATTTGCATTGGAGATAGAATGTCTGCTGGAAGGTCATTAATGTAGACTAAAAATAGGAGCGGGCCGCGGACGGATCGTTGTGGTACACCACTGGAGACGTAAAGGCTTTCGGAATAGGTGTCGGCTACTCTTACCTTGATTGCTCTGTCGTGTAAGTAGTCTTCCAACCAGGTGAGCAGGGAACCGTTGATACCATAGGCGACAAGCTTTTGGAGGAGAAAGAAGTGATTGACCCTGTCGAATGCTTTAGAAAAATCCAGATATATCACATCTATGGGCACTCCTTCATCCGCCGCCCTGGTCCATAAGTCCTGAGTAATCAGCAAATTGGTGAGACAAGATCGTCTGCGTTGGAAACCATGTTGGGCATTAGAAATTATCTGTTGACTTTCAAGTAACGCGACAGGTCATCTGCGATTACCGATTCCATAACTTTTGATAAAACAGGAAAGAGAGTAATAGGTCGGTAGTTAGCAGGATCCGAGCGCTTACCCCCTTTATATATTGGAGTGATAATTCCATTTTTCCACTCAGATAGGTGTGTATGGGAGTTAAGCAGACACTGGAAAAAGGTTGCAAGTGGTGTTGCTATGGTGGGAGCAAGGGTTTTTAGTACTTTTGGCCAGATCATGTCGATTCCAGGGGCACTGTACTCCCTGAGAGTCTGTAATTTGCTTGCAACAGCTGCTGGATTAAAGGTAACGCTGGATAAGCCAACGACATATTTTGGGAGTTGATAGGGCGAAGGTTCCATGATAACTGTAGCTACCAAGCCAAACTGCAAGAGTAGAGCGTTCGCGGTATCCACAGTAGTAGTTGTTAGGCCACTGGCCGTCTTGAGTAGTGGTATCCCGGGCTTAACCTATCTTTTGCCATTCACAAATCTGTATAACAGTTTGGTGTTACTCGTAAATTTCAGCACCATATTCTCCTGCCATTCGTACTTAGCAGCGATACTGACAGTTTGGACTGTATACGTGTCCGGTATCCCGTTATCTGATTCGGACTGTGCTTGTGGGTAGGCTGGACATAAGTTGTCTGAACAATGAACGGTCGAGAGTAAGAGCTGAAGTTACAGCCAATACAGACATAACAATCCCTTCGACTTTTCATTTGAAAAATAGGCGTAGTGATTCAATAGTGTGTGTCCGAGATTAGGGATGGAGAAGTTAAACAGACAAGATATGTGGACGGTGGTATGATTGCTAATTGATTCAATCGAGGAACCGGCAGAAAGTTGCAATTTAGCTCGGTCTGCTAAGACTGAAAGCCGTCGGTGAGTGGAGTGAAAGAAGCATTTTTCCGTCGTTGGCAAACTAGCTCCTCGCAGAATTATAGGAGTTGCTAAAGCAAAACCAACTAAATGCACATTACATTCTAAAAGGACACAATACATAATTGATTAAATGCTGTCATTCTTCTGCACCTCAAGCTTGTATGGTCACATCGAATGTTAGATATAAATATGCATATCTGTTACTGGTAATGGTACTGACCTACCAAGAAGGAATGCGTAGATCGAACTGTGCTTCAAAGGAGGGATATAATTGTTTGCCATCAACTAGGCATGACAGCAATAATTTCGTCGACTAGACTGACTTCTCGATTACAATAAAACCTTCGGTGAGACAGAGTCATCACCTGCTGCCTGGCTGAATCGTCACATTTTGTAGGGGTGAAAAGGTATGGCAAAATCGTCTATAAGCAGTAGTCATAAACGCTAAGAGTCAACGTGCGGTCTGTTATTCAAAAGACAGTGTATGATATGACCTTGACCGCAGATAGGATTGAATGAGGTCACAATTTCAACTCACAACTGCTGTACTTTGCAATTGAGCATACAAGGTGGTCCAAGGAAGTGAATTCTTTTAATTCCAATATTTGTATTGCAGTTTCGAATCGCATGCAGAAAGGTTAGGTTCAGCTACTCAACCATCAAGTTGAAAGTGTACAAACGCCGTGGTAAATATCATTAAGTATCATATGCTGTTACTTCCCTAAGTTGTAGGTTGCAGTTTTTGCATGTCAGCCAACGTGCACGAAGAGCTGATTCGCGTCAAAATTATCGCCGTACTTCGGCATTAAACCGGCAACAACGCAGGCAGCCGTAACTTTAATGACCAATTCGTTAAGTCATAGATTGCGTTTAACATCGACTTTTATACGAGATTTCGGGAAGGAAGCCTCATACTCAGTCTCATTTGATCGATCATACGTAGTTAATCGAATACGATGAACAGGCGTGTATGCAGTATTGAAATTGTTAAATAATAATATTACTATTATTACGGCGTAGAACCCGGGGCTAGAGCGGCACGTTAATTAAAGAGAGAAAAAACATACGGTCACTGCGTAGTCTGGACAGAATGGGTAGAAGTGACGCACAGCCAAGCAGTAGTTGATTTATCTGCTTAGGTAGTAAACCACGATCCCATCAAGAAAGGCCAAATTTATAAAAATCAGAAATATGTGATTTACACAGCCATTGTATCGCAAGATAGAGTCATGCGGTGATTTGTTTCACTAGGTTACAGTGTACTTACCGAAACAAAATGCTTTCGATTGAGAAAAACGATCAAGTAGTCTTAGATGATAGACACCTGTGAAACTTACTGCTTGATGTAGGTCGCTTTTGACAGAGGCAAGTAGTTGCGAATATACCGTCTTATTTAATTGTTTGACGTATTGTTTTTCCTGAAACGCACTGATACTGCAGTCTATCACTGTGGGTGCAAAAGTGTAGCAGGAAGTTTGTTTGGAAAATGTAGGTAGATTAAAGGATTATTCTATAATGTTGAACTCAATTCGATGTGATCAGAGCATGCACATGTGAAAGGAACTAACAGTTCGAGGAAAAAGAGTTTATTATTATATGCATATAGTTGAAAGATTCCTAGACTAAAGTACTCTGGAAATCACACAGCCAATTCGACCAGGAGAAAAAGCACACTGTGGTCACCACAAAGGAACTATGCCCGTAGTGCTTCGACTAGCTCATCTGAAGTCCTTGAGATCACCACAAGTAGATAAGGCCACAAACGCACAACAGCGTGAGTCCTTTTATAATTATTTCATTGGAATTATATACTAGTGCTTATTTCCACCACGGGAAGAGGGTTTTGGATAAAAGCGATGCGCTCATTTAATCACAGTAGCTAATTTGACATAATCAGTTTGCGCACGCGATATTCTATGGTGGGATTCTGCAGTGGTATATCAGTGACACGGGTTAAAGTCATAAGAGCTGATGCTTTATATCTTTTAGCCGTATATTTCCTATAGCTGGTAAGTGAAGAGATTCTCGGACATTAGAGCAACCGGCATTAATCGGAGCGCATTGGAGGGGTGCGCTAAAATATAGAAAGAATTATTTTAGATATCTTCTTTTGATTCCGTGCATATTATTCTCCAACCAATCGGGAGATAGGTATTATCCGGATGAATTCGCAGCAATTTAACACAACATGCCTAAACTCTTACATATGTTGCTTATCCTTATGGTGGTATATTCTTAATGCCAAGTTTAGCATCAGGTTTATTCACAAAATTGTAAGCAGTTGGGTAGTGGCTTGAAGCACAGAGGAACATTTCTTCCAGATTAAAACTGACTTTGAGTGAAGACCAGTGGGTTATGAGCATACAGCCATGACAGGTATGATACGGAGGGCAACTGCTTCACTAATTACCGCACCAAACGATCTCCTGAAGCTGCTAATAATGATTAACGTCCCCAGATTGCTTCATTTCTTCGCTGAAGGTAAGGGAAGTTCAGTTTAATGCAGTTAGTTTTATTGAGTATGGAAGTATTACAGACCAAACGCTGACCTTCACACATCTAGGGTCCTACCTCCATGAATCTCTGTGTTATTCGTTATACATCTTAGGCGTGCTTGCCAAGTGAAACATTCCGAGTATGCAGCTAACGATTTGAATTGGAGGATATAATGCTGAAAAGCGCACAACGACTGAACGGAGAAGTAGCAGCTTAGATGCAACGCGTTATACGTACTGCGAAAGATAAATATATAAGCCTCGCTTGCTTAAACCCTGATACATTTTCTAGGTATGGCCCATTTGAAAAAGTATCTCCTATCGGTAGTCCACTTCATTTTACCCGTATGAATAGTCGTGGCTGCTGGTATGCTTTGAATTAGCCTCTATTAAACTAATCTTTTAAATTTTTCCTAACAAATGAGACATAATGCACATGGTAAATATCAATTAAATTACGCAGGTAGTAGTATCATTTCAACTACGTAACTAGGAGAAAAATAAAATGCACTTTGACAACAAGATACTCCATTGCAGAAACTGCAGTTATTGTGTAAGGAAAACTCACCTAAAATTTCTGTTGGCAACGTGGACAGATCTTTTATACTTCCGAACAATTTGGTCACTGAAATGCAAGGCAAAAGATCAAAATGGACGGATTGTATTTTTTTGTAAATACATTTGTCAATGAAATAGTAAGCGGTACTAAAATAAAGCATTTGTTCTAAACACTTGCCAAACTATTTAACTAGCTCAACAGCGTGTTGTTTTGCAAACAAGAACCGCTTTAGGTGATCCAAAGAATTAATTGAGATTTTCCTATACAGATAAAAGAGACGAAATTTGTGCGGTTACCATCTTGGGTCAGTGGTTTAACCATGGACAGGTTTTAGTATGAACAAAGCGCCACTAATTATCACAAGACAAAACTAGGCCAGCATAAAACTGTAGCTATGAAATGCAGGTTAAATTCATAATTATAAATAAATAAATGGTATATTTCTCAAAAAGGTGATAGCAAAACGTTGATGACATCATTAAATGCAGCAATGAATGGTGACAAGCAATTGCATAAGTAAACACTGCCCACAATCATCGCGACCATAGTTTATGAACTTAAACATCGATTAAATTATTGCAGCTTAATTTTTATAGCAGCATTATCATTTGTGAGATAATTCGTGAGTTTGGAACACTTCACTTTAAAAATGGACTATAGCTCTTCATAAACGATTTCGTGCAGAGTAAAAGACATTTTTATTATGATAAAAGGATGGCTTTGCATTTTCTCTATGGCCAGACTGAGGGTTTACTTGAGGCATTTCCTCCTGCCTTAAGCTTCAATCGGGCCGCTTGTGGCACACGGAAGCAAGGGATGGCGTAGCATTCACAACCCAACGCAAGTGTTTTATTGAAACAGCTCAGTCGTCTTAAGCTGAGAAATTTCAAACCGTCAAAATAGCTCTATGGATTTCAGTGCGTTGCTAGTCCCCTATTATTGCACAAAGACTGGACAAAGGAATTGTCATTTGCAGTCTCCCAAAGCCGATGTTGATGATGTTATCCATTTTTCCGGATAAGCTGACGAAAGAACTAGCCAAGTAACCAGATTTTGCGTTCGAACTTTTTCCATGGCAGGCAACCGATAGCTACAGGAACAAATACGCAGCAATGCAAAACTGGTGCCACATCTTCTACGAGTCGTCAAACGGAGCTAAGCCTTGAGACCAGGAAGTTTTTATACATCGTAGTAGGCTGGCAGCAAGGATGGTTTCTTTGTGGGGTATACTATGGTCGGATGTTGACCAGGTTTTGTTTACCGTTCATTGCACCTCGTCTGTGCTTACGTTAAGTCTCGTTTAGCACAAGCTCTCAGTCTGGCAGCACAAAACCCATGGACGAATTGTGTTAATAACACCTTCTTCATAAAGGAAAAACTAAAAGTTGTCTAAAACACCGATCTGGGCACAATGTAGCCACCTCATTGGAATCTATTATTCCCCATGCTTGCTTGACTAACGCGTCCAAGAATAAACAAACATATCATCCGTTTTACTTCATAGGTCGACGGACTTGCCTCAATTTGCTTATCAACACAGGTACATAATTGGGCATCATACCATCGGAGGCAAATTACAAGCATTCAAAGCCCACGTACAACCTGTGTGCAGCGAATATTTCGCCATCCACTTCACACAGCCAAAGCGTCATTTGAAGTGGGTTTCCCGGTTGCAAGTGTAGCCTTTGCAATTATCGACAACCATTTCCTCCATCACTTTGAGTTGCTTTATTATGCAGGCCACCACATGCTTTTAGACGACCGTGCTTGACCTGGTGGTTGGATGTGTACTACATGCCAACTCATTCTGCCAACGCTAGACGAGCTTCAGTATATACGGGCTTGTTCTCTGAGTAGCCTCGACTACGAGCAGCTAGCTAGTGTTTGCTTATCAAATAGTCACCCGTGGCCAACCGTTGGTTGTTAAGTTGAGACGATTCACCTCAGACAAGCCACACACCATGCAAGCTGAATTCGGCCACATGCTTCAGCTCGGTATCGTCAGCATATCCGACAGCCCGAACCACAGGTGGTCGAACTAGAGGACTCATAGAAGCAGCAAAAGCGTTCCGGACGCAATATGCGCCCACATGCCACGTCTTACCATCAGGCCATCCTCCAAGTTTTCCTTTCCCACCTCCAGGACTCACCCATATCTTTTTTACGACCGAAGTTGCTTTGCGGAAGCTGACGGCTCTGCGCAACCACAGCTCCCCGGGAGTCGACAACATTCGCACAGAGGCACGGGGGGCAACAGCAATACGACCGGCAAAAGCTTTGGCACAGTTCTTCCAGTGCTGCTTAGAACAGAAGCAGGTTACTGCGATGTGGAAACTTGGAATAATAACTCCCATTCACAAAGACGGAAGCAGGACTGAGTCCTCAAACTACCGCCCAGTGTCCCTTCTTCCTGTACTATCCAAGGTCATGGGATCCATAGTTGCCGACGCGTTGTCATATTATCTAGGACATTGTAACCCTATTAGTCTTGAGCAACACGGTTTTCGTCGATAGTGATCGTGCAGGAAGGAATTTATTAACAGTTCGGAGTACTTTGACCGAGTCAGCTGACGCTGTGGAGGACGTTTATGTGATCTACTTGGATTGGTCGTAGGTGCTCGATCATTTAGATCATCGGGTTCTCCTTTCCAAGCTCCAATATTACGACATCGGTAACCGTTGCTTGAGCTGGATCGCCAACTTTCTCCTGCAACGACAATTAGTGGTGAGAGTCCGGAGTTCTCTATCTGAATCCATACCAGTCGAGTCTGGTGTGCCCCTAAGCTCAGTGCCAGGCCCAAGGTTGTTTTTTATTCATCAATAACCTTGCACGGAATATCGCTTCAAATTTCCTGTTGTTTTCTAAAGATATCAAGCTAAGGCGCCGGATTCAGGCGGATGCCGATCAGAGTTTACTTCAATGTGACCTAGTTACAGTACATGATTAGTCCACCCGGAATCTGTTGTAGTTCAACGTGGCCGAATGCAAAGTAATCTTCATACGACGCCAGGTACCTAACCCTCCAATGTTGGAACTCAAGTACTACAGCGGTCATCCGTCGAACGCGACCTTGGCGTCCTTGTTCAGGGTAACTTAGGTTGTTCCAAGCAATCCGCAAAGGCTTCGAAAATTGGTAATCAACACATCGGCTCGCTACGACGGGCGTTCGGACAAGTAGACACCGTTATTTTCAGAAAGATGCAGAATGCGTATGTTCGTCCTCATGTCGAATACGTAATCCAAGGCTTACAGCCATGGCTGAAGCAAGACCTTACTGCACTGGACCAACCACAAGGTCTGGCTTCTAAATTCTTTATTGGAATGCGCCACCTTCCGTACGAGCAGTGGCTTAAACGTTTGCGAGTATTCAGCGGACATTATCGCCGACTACGACGAGACTTGATTACGGCGTATTTGCTTGTGCACAATACAAATCGTGTGCGCCGCTTTTTACGGCAACTCAGTAGCTACACAAAACTTAGAGGCCACTGCTTGAAATTATCAGAAATGTGTAGCCGTCTGGCATGCCACAGAAATTTCTTTTCCATTCGTATGTGCTAACCATGGAATGTTCTCCCCGGATCTGTTGTTTCAGCACCCACGATAGCTATTTTTATACTTCGGTTAGATGACGCACTCCGCCACTTACTCTCCATCCTGCTCCCGGGAAACACCATGCATTTACTTTTATTCGCCTAATGAAGCTATGGAAACGTTCGGAGTGCAGGGCTACTGAAGCAAAAATGATAAGTCCATCATTTTGACAGTAAAACAACTAACTGCTTTTTCATTAACTCTTTCGATAACCCATCAGACCACCCCACGGGGCTTGTAAAGCAAGCCTTCTTAATCCGTATAAAATCGTTGTTCATGGTTCATGGGACCGAAAATGTTAATGATAGCTTAGAGTCATAGTGGTGACTATCGTGTCTTAAACACTGTTGCTCCGTCCGATCTCCATCCGATTTCACACATCGTGGATTTCGCAGCCAGTCTCGCAGGTAAGACAGTAACATCTATTTGGTTCGGCTGTACAATCAAATTCTGGGCGCAGAAGCGTACATCAAACTGCTATGTCAATCGCTCTTGGTTTGTTTGAGTTAATGGGCATGCCATTTGGTCAAAGGAATGCGGCACTAATTTATCAGCGTTTCATTAACCAAGTTTGCTACGTTTTAGCATTCTCCTGTGCTTATCAGGACGCAATACGGATTGTGAGTTCTTCACACAGAGAGCATTTGATCTATTTGCGGACACTTCTGACCGCTTGGCCCAACATGGAATGACAGTCAACATGAAAAACGTTCGCTTTTTGTTGACAAAATCAAAACTGTCGTCAACTTATCTCGGCCTGATTCTTTTAATCAGTTAATACTTTTTGTTGAGGTCAACATTCTTGTGTCTGCTTCATACTCAATTTTGTGTCGCTCCTCAGAGAGCTTTTTCCGGAGAAACATTTGAAATCAGATTTTCCTGATGCAGTACTCGGGGCATTCAAGGAGGCTGTTTACCAACAGAGCTCCTATAGCGCATCTCGATTTGGCAGCCACACTGTCGCTGAGTACCAATAATTCAAAATCCTCAGTTGACAGTATTTAGCAGCATCAACTAAGCGACACTTGACAACCGTCGGCATTTGTTTAAAACCCCAACAGCTTGACGGATTTCGTCATAGTAACAACGGAACATTGCTTTATGACGGGCTTAACATATCGGGTAAGTGGGTAATATAAGGAATTGCAAATCCGAATACCACACAAGTGTACAAAATAAAATGCGTATCGGTGAGAGATAGAATAATGCCACACAGAAATGAGGTGGTGTTAGTGAGGTGGTACCATACAAAAGGGAGTAAGAAGTCGGTATGATTAATGTTTATGGCAAAAACAGGCAGCTTGTTCATTTGCCTGTAGAGATTTACGTGCTACCCCGCGGTTTATAATCCCAAAACTGGTAAA